TATATATTAAGTGGAGACATACAATGTCTCTCCTTCATCGCCTGGTTTACTTCACTCAGCAGTAAATCTTCCATATTCATCCACTTTCTGTCAAAAGCCAGGGTCTTGTTTTTATATGACTGAGTACTATTCCATAGAGTATATGTGCCACAGTTTTTTAATCCATTCATCTGTTTGTGGGCGTTAGGGTTATTTCCATGCCTTAGCAATTGTGAGTAATGCAGCAATAAACATTGATGTGCAAGCACTTTTCCAATTAAGAATTCTTCTGTTCTTTGGGTAGATACCAAGAAATGGGATTGCTGGATCATATGGTAGTTCTATTTGTAGGCCTTTTGAGGTATCTCCAAATTGTTCTCCAGAGTGGCTGGACCAATTTACATTCCCACCAATAGTGTAGGAGAGTTCCCCTTTCACCACACTCCCGCCATCATTTTTTGTTTTTTTAATCTTAGTTATTTTGACTGGGGTTTTTATCTGCATCTCCCTTACAATGGGGGATGATGAGCATTTTTTCATATGCCTTTTGGCTACTCATATGTCTTCCTTAGAGAGTGTTTTTTTCAACTCATTCTCCCATATTTTAATAGGGTTAATCATCTTTTTTTTGGGACAGCTGCTTGAATTCCTTGTATGTTCTGGTTATCAGTCCCTTATTTGATGCATGATTTACAAAAATATTTTCCCATTCTGAGGGCTGTCAATTCACACTAATTATTGTGTCTTTTGCCATGCAGAAATTTCTTAATCTGATGTAATCCCACTTGTCTATTTTTGTGATTATTGACTGTGCTTTGGGGTCTTATTTAAGAAGTCTTTGACTACCCCAATGTCTCCCAGAGTTTCCCCAGTATTTTCCAGCAACAGTGTTATAGTTTGAGGTCTTAGATTTAGGTCTTTGATCCACATTGAGTTGATTTTTGTCAAAGGTGAGAGGTATGGGTTCAGATTCATTTTTCTGCAGGTGGATATCCAGTTTTTTCAGCACCATTTGCTAAAGAGATTTTCTTTTCCCCACTGGATTGACTGGTACCCTTTGTCAAAAACCAGTTGGCTATGTGTCTGTACTTCTGGGGACTCTATTCTGTTCTATTGATCCACCTGTCTATTTCTGTGCCAGTACCATGCTGTTTTGATTACCAACAGCTTCGTAGTATATTTTTGGGTTAGAGAGTGAGATGCCACTCACTCCACTCTTCTTGTGCAGGATTGCTTAGGCAATATGAGGTCTTTTATGATTCCAGAAAAAAATGTATGATTGTCTTTTCTAGATCTGTGAAGAATGTCTCTGGCACTTAGATTGGGATTGCTTTAAACATGCAGATTAATTTGGGTAGAATTGCCATTCTGATTATGTTAATTCTTCCAATCCAGGAACATGGAATGTCCTTCCAATTTTTTTGTGTGTCATTTTCAATTTCTTTTTTTAGCTTATCATAGTTTTCCTTGTGGAGGCCTTTAACTTCTTTGGTTAGATTCCTAGGTATCTTATGCATTTTGTGGCTATGATAAATGGAATCACTTTTTACAGTTCTATCTCAGTTTGCTTGGTGTTCGTATGTAGAAATGTTATAGATTTCTGTATGTTGATTTTGTATCCTGCAACTGTACTGTATTCATGTATTACTTCCAGGAATTTTATCATGGATACCATTGGGTCTTCTATTTTTATTCTCATTTCTAATCCAAATAGAAGTAGTTTTGCCTCTTCTTTTTCTATTTGAATGCCTTTTATTTTATTCTCATTTCTAATTGCATTGGTGAGGATTTCTAGTACTATACTGAAAAGGACTGGAGAAAGTGGGCATCCTTGTCTTGTACCAGTTTTTAATGGAAAAGCTTTCAGCTTTTCTCCATTCAGGAGGATGTTAGCTATGGGTTTTTTTATAGATAACTTTTGTTGTGTTGAGAAATGACCCTTCTATGCCAATTTTGCTGAGAGTCTTCATCATGAAGGGATGTTGTACTCTTTCAAATGCTTTTTCTGCATCAATTGATATGATCATATGGTTTTTATCTTTCTTTCTGTTAATATGGTATATTACATTTATGGTTTTACATATGTTGAACCAACCTTGCATCCCTGGAATAACTCCTAACTGGTTGTGATGTATAATCTTTCTTATATGTTGTTGGATATGATTTGCTAGTATCTTGTTGAGAATTTTTACATCTATATTCAACAGAGATATTAGTCTATAGTTTTCTTTCCTTGCCCTGTCCTTATCTGTTTTGTGGATAAGGGTGATGGAGGCTTCATAGAATGAATTTGGGAGAGTTTCACCCTTTTAGATTTTTGGAAATAACTTTCGCAGAATGGAGGTTAACTCTTCTTTAAAAGTTTTTTAAAAGAATTCAGAGGTGAAGCCATCAGGACCAGGTATTTTCTTTGTTGGGAGGTTATTTATTACTGATTCAATCTCCTGGCTAGTATTGGACCTATTCAGACTTTCTACATCCTCCTGGCTCAATCTTGGTAGATTATATGTGTCCAGGAATTTGTCCATCTCATTCAGATTTTCTTGTTTGTTAGTGTATAGTTGTTCATAGTATCCTCTAATGATGTTTTGTATTTATTTATGTCTGTTATATTTCCAGCTTCATTGCAAATTTGATTTACCTGGTTCTTTTTTCTTCTTAATAAGTCTCACTAGTGGTATATCGATTTTGTTTATCTTTTCAAAGAACCAGCTTTTACTTTCAT